CTGTCCTGCCTCAAATACCAGGGGCACCCCCGTAATCTACCTGGGACCAAGCCAGGCCGGGAGGGGCACCCTCCCCTCTGCTACCTCCAGTTGGTGCTGATGGCTTGCCCAGAAGTTAAGTACAGCTGTCGGGACTTCAGGGGCGAGGAGGGTCTCAGGAGACCTGCACACAGCTGCTGCTCGGATCCTTTTCCGCTCGGGCGGATGAGCTGCGGCTAATTTATGGTGAGGACGTCACTCTGGATCTCGTGGCTCAGCTGGGTCTGCAAATCGCTCAGCTTCTTCTTCAACCCGGAGAGGGCCGAGAGGACGATGGTTTCGGGGCGCAGGGAGCCACAGGACTCCACGTTGTAGTAAAACCTGAGGCGCGAGTCCAGTGAGAGCCGCCCCAGGGGCTGGTGAGCCTGAGCTGGGCCAGGGCCACCGCTTTCCCCCCTGAGTCTTAACTCCTTTCCCACCAGGAACTCAACCTGGCCCCAGGGTTGACCTCCATCCTCTTACAAACAGTGCTTTCTACAGGACCTCAACGAGGCTACAGTCACCTCACAGATACTGTGAAACCCCCCAAGCACTTCTGTATGGATGTGTCCCGCACTGAGGAGAAAGCGGAAAATGAACGAGCGGGTCGCACGGGCCAGCGTCTCTGTTCCTCCCTAGAAGACTGGTCAGTTTCTGGCCCTGATCTGACCCCATCTTTGGATGCTGCAAACCAGAACAGGAAGAGCTTGGATAACTGGAGGCCCCTCTTTTTCAGTGACTACAGGGGACGCACCCATCTTGGGTTCAGCAGTCTTCAGCCCCTCCTCAGCTTTCTGGAAGCTGGGACATGAGGGAAAGGGTCACCCTAACTGCACCAAACCGTCCGTTCCTACACATCTCACCGTCCGTGCTGGCCCAGGCACTTACCTCTCCGGCTTGCCGTTGGGGTCGTACGGAGCCTGGGACTCATCTTCATCCAGCTCTGAGTACTCGCTCTTTGGCCTGAGGTCAAACACAGGTCAGCACCCGGTTGTTACTGCTGCTTCCGGGCCCCTGTGCCCGTAGTGAGTCTGCCCATCTGGGTCACTAGGAGCCACGGACGTGGACTAGGAGCCATGTCCACTCCACCCCCTCTAACCACCCGCCTTCATCCCCAGCGGGAACCTACCACTCCTCTGGCTTGGGGTACACTGTGTGCCTCAGGGCATTGTCGGGATCATATTCAAAAGCCACCCCTGCAGTCGGGTTCCACTTAGCATGTTCCTTGCCAAAGCCCTTCTTGGCATAGGCGCGGAGTCTCAGCTCCTGGCCCTTTCGCAGCTTGACGATGAGGATGTCTGTGGAGAGAGGTGGGAGTCGGTGCGGGGGCCAGAGAGGCACGGTCCCCCCACATCGACCTGGAGTGCCACTGAAGGCCACACACATCTGGAAAAACAGACCAAAGGCCAGCTGAGGTGACCAGGCAGCACGAGGCTGTCTGGTCTCTGCCAACCAACAGGTCGGGTAGCCATCTGCACACTCACGCCAGCCCCTTACCGTCCTGGTCCACGTAGTCATTGGGGTCGTTATCTCGGTTCCGGGATGTCACCTGCCGGAGCCCAAACAGAGACATTTATTAGCCGCTCACCTCCCAGTACTTCCAGATCACAACCTGCCAACCAGGGGCAGGAGTGCCTACTAGGACCAATCTGTGCTGGTGCCTGTACTCCAACCCGTTTCACGGCTTTGTGACAGTCCTCTGTCAAAACAGTACCGTGCCCTTTTGTTTATTTATTTTAAAACTGATCTGAGAGGAAGGGAGAGAGAGAATCATCGATTGGCTGCCTCCTGCATGCCCCGTACTGGGGATCGAGCCCGGGCATGTGCCCTTGATTGGAATCGAACCCAGGACCCTTCAGTCCACCAGCCGACACTCTATCCACTGAGCCAAACCAGCTAAGGCTATACTGTGGCCTTTTAAAGGGGCCTGGGCGACAGAGGGCACACAGCACCAACAATATCCGCCCACCCCAGGAGCCCAGAATGAGCATGTCCAGGCATCAGGGGTAACATAGGGCAAGGTGGTGCCTTAGGCGAATCCCCCCCAGTCCAGCCCACACAGAAGGAGAAGAGCAAAGGGCCTGGGCAGGGCTGTCCTCAGACACTGACTGGAATGACCCGGGGGCTGTTGGAGATGAGGTCTCGAGACGTGACGTGACGAGTCTGGTCTTCGTTGCACCGCACGTCGAGAGTGAACTCCACCGAGCACTCGGGGCAGAACTCCTCGTACGTGCAGTCCTGAGGCAGGGAGAGAGCAGGCGTGAGTGTGGGGAGGGCGGATCCTGAGCTCTCTGCTTGCGATCCCCAGTTCCTACTGTTTCCTCGTCTAGAAAAGGGCTGACCAGTCTCCAGACCCTTGGGAGCTGTCAATCTGGTAACCTTCTCCACTGCAGGCACTTCCCAGGTTAGAGACAACCGTGTGTGCTGACACCCACGCTCCTTCCACACCCGTCAGCTGCCGGGCTGCCTCTGGGACACGCACTGTTCACATCTCAGCCTGGCCCTGGGCATGTCCTTCCCAGAGAACAGCGGCAATCCTCTAGCTCGGCCTCCATGGACTAGGTGGACTAGCTCGGGAATAGAGTCATTTAAAATAAAGGGAACTAGGAAGAAGTACCTTTCAAATTCTAGGCTACTGACCCTTTCTTAAAACAAAACAAAAAAACTTTATATATACACACACACACATACATATACGCATACATGTGTAAAATAAAGCAAAAGTAGCAAAATATTAACAATTGGCAACAAAGGTCAAAAGTAGATGGACATTTATCATTCTGTTTCTTCAACTTTTCTGCAGATTTTCAGAAAAGCAAAAAAAAAAAAAAAAGGACCATTCCACATCTTTCAGTAAATATAACTAACACTAGAGAAAATTTAATAGCCCAGCCCAGTGATGGCGAACCTATGACACTCATTTTTTGGTTGATTTTTCTTTGTTAAATGGCATTTAAATACATAAAATAAATATAAAAAAATAATTCTTTGTTTTACTATGGTTGCAAATTTCAAAAAATTTCTATATGTGACACGGCACCAGAGTTAAGTTAGGGTTTTTCAAAATGCTGACACACCGAGCTCAAAAGGTTCGCCATCACTGGCCCAGCCGGTGTGGCTCAGTTGGTGAGCATCGATCCATGAACCAGGTCATAGTTCGATTCCCACTCAGGGCACGTGCCCGGGTTGTGGGCTTGATCCCCAGTAGGGGGCGTGCAGGAGGCAGCCGATCAATGATTCTGATCGTTTCAATCTCTCTTCCTCTCTGAAATCGATAAAAATATATTAACAAATTAATGGAAGGCATGGCTAGGCCATAGCGTGTGCCTATCTTTATATGAGATATTGCCAAACGCCTCTTCAGCTGACACGCTGCACACCTGTCCCACCAATATCTGATGTTTTATTTCTTAAAAACAAAAATCTGAAGATGTGAAGCAAATATGGCAAAATGTTAAAATGTGACAAAATGAGAGCATAGTATCTGTTATATTAGCTGCACACTTTGCCTGAATATTTCTTTAAAGAATTTTATATACATATATACATTTGTATTCATAGTACATATCAAATTAGCCACCACAGAAATGACATGCCCTTGGGAATTAGAAGATGGGCCCAAAGCCACCAAAAGGGAATAGTCTCAAGCTATTACCTAATGCAGTCCTGGTGGAGGGATGCAGGTAACCCTATCCTGTCCCGTTCTCTCCCTGGAGGAAGGAGCCAAGTTTACTAGCATCACCTACTGGGTGAGTCACAAATCTGGCAGCCACCAGCACTCCGGTCTCTGGGTGCTGCTCTGTGGACAGGTCTCACTCCCTCTCCTGTCCTCCATCCTCCCCAACCTTCTGCTGACTCCCTTTAACCTCCTAGGCCCCCGTCACTGGGAAGAGATGCCCTGGAAAGCAGAACCAGAACAGATCAGACTGAAAGGGACCAGCCCCCGCTTGTATACATGGGCATTCTAGTGTATTCCCCCTCTTGTGTGACTGATGCCCTGTGAGTCTAATCAATCTGAGGCCCATCAGAACCAAGGACCAAGGCCTGCCGTGGGCTCTAGACAACATCTCCATATTGTCTTTCTAAAAGCTGGAAGCAAAATGTCAGGAAAATCCTTCTGAGAACGGAAGGCCCCTGCCTCCCTGGCCACCCAACCCCCCAGCATACCCGGGAGTACTGCAGCTTGTCCACAATGTCATCGCTGGTGAGGGGGATTAATCCTGGAAGACACAGAAAAGCACTCTGAAGAAGGCCAAGCAGCCAAGCCAAAAGGAGAACCTAGAAGTCCCCTTGGCAGCGAGGAGGCTTCCTCTCTGACACCTGACACAGCCCCCACCCTTCACCGTCCCAAACCAGCACTCACCAAGCCTGTGAGCGATGAACTCGTCGTGAAGGACTGAGGAATTGGCGTCAATCTGAACCCAGTCAATGGCTAAAACGTGAAGGAAGCAGACATGCAGCTTAGCCTCCAAATTCACCTCAAGACTTACCAGCACAGCCGTGGTTCTCAAGATGTAGGAATCGCCTGAGGCATATAAGGAGCAGAGGCCTGGGCCAGGCCGCCAGACCGATTCACACAGCTCTAGGACAGGGTCTAGGAACCTGCATTTTAACCAGAACCACACAAACGCCACACACCACACCCCCCTTCCCTGCTCAGGAGGGGTTAGTGCAAGGTCCCTGTACCACAGAGAAAAACAACGACCTAGTGAACAGTACAGGAGTGGGAACACGTTTCTTTGAGCTGAATATTCCTGTGAGAAGCACGTATGTCTGCTACTCATGCCAACACGAACTCCAAGAACACAAACTATTTGGGTACTTAAATCCTAGGGAAAGCCTCAGAGGTAACACAGACATCTAGCCCATATCTCATTTTACGGTATAATGACTAGATTACCCTTTATTAATACTACTAGGGGCTCGGTGCACGAATTCGTGCATGGGTGAGGTCCCTAAGGGCAATGGGGACCGTGGTTGGCCAGCTGTGGGAGGTTGGCTGTGGGAGCGCACTGACCACCAGGGGGCAGCTCCTGCATTGAGCGTCTGCCCCCTGGTGGTCAGTGTGTTGTCACAGCGACCGGCCGACCAGTCACTTAGGCTTTTATATATATAGATATTACCACTCAATCAACCAATGTTGACAGAATTCCTTCAATGGGCAAGGCATACTCAGTATAAAACCCAGTTCCCACCAGCAATGAGCTAACAGGAGGGGAAGGACTGTATGCTCACACACATTTGATTGACTTAAGCACATTCATTCATTCATTCACATCTGCATGTAAACAAATTCATAGAGCAAATGGCTTTGGAGCCCACATGTCAAATAATAGGTATAAACAACTGGAAATGGAGGTTGGAGGAGGACCAGACACAGCCAGGCCCCGCCTGCTTTGTTCCATGCTCCCTACTGCTTCCTTCCCTCAACCCAAGTCAAACAAGGGCAAGCCAACCTTTCCTGTCTCTGCCCCTGTACACCCGCACCTATCTCTGCCGTGCCCTTGCCCTCTCCAGTGAAGGTTAAAATCCTCTGAGCCTCCGAGATACAGACACGATCACTCCCTCCTGTAGGGAGCGGCTATGGGGTCAACCCTCGGACTGACCTGTGGCAGAGCCACATACAAATCCCAGCTTGGAGGGCAGAGCCCTCCTGGCACAATTAAGCTTGACCTTACAGTCCTCCCTTGTTCCTAGGTAGCTAATGGGCTGTGGGAGGTGCAGCAAGTGCTGCCAAAACAAGGCTTGAGGAACGAAATAGATTTGAAACTCGCGCAAACATGTTGACCACTCCCCTCGCTTTGCTTTGTGTGATCTGACTATAAAATAAAGCTTGGGCTTACAGGCTGGGTCACTGTTTCCTCATCCAGGCACAGTGATCCTACCTGGCCCCAACTGTATTCTCTTGTCTGTCTTCTCTAATCCTTCACCGCCCCTCCTCAGGTTCACCCCTGGCCGTGCTGGATGTGGTTCACCCTCCCTGTAAGCTCCTCCCTAAAAAATTCTGCCCAGATTTCTCTTAAGACCCTTGTCATACTGTGCCTTGTGTTATATTTATGCGTGTCTTATCTCTACCTCAAGCTCTGAAAATCCCTTAGGGCAGGGTCTTCAGATACTTAACTTTTGTAATTCCTAGCTCTAGCCTGGAACATAGCAGGTTCTCACTTATTTGCGGAACTGAATTTGTGGGAAAAGTGGCATTTAGATTTGGAACGTCAGAGCTGCATCACAGTGCAACTCCCTCGTTTTACTCCTGATGAAACTGGGGCCCAGAGACATGAGTGATTAGGCAGAGGACCAGCACACCAAGCTCTGAGTTGAGGTGGGGGGATGGGGGGGGGGGGGGGGGGGGGGAGGTGGAGGATCAACTACCACGTCCTCCCATTTACCCATTTGGCCTGCTTATTTCCTTAGGAGCAGGCACACCTGATGCAGCAGCTGACTTACATTTCCTTTTCCTAAACTCTCTAAGCTGACACTCAGAAAATATTGGTAGTATGTGTGCAAATTTGCAAGATGCCTGGAGCATTGTGGCTGGAACCAGAGCAAAAACAGATCCTCCCTCCTCTAAGCCACAGCACTGGAGCTCGGCTTCTCCCAGTACTGGTCCAAGGCTACCCTGCATGAATGTTGCCCGTGGGCTCATCTTTCCCCTGCACCTTCACTGTGGGCTCTATGAAGGCAAGAACCCTGTGCTATACAGCTAGCTCTGCATCCCCAGTGCCCAGCCATGCCTGGCACTTATATGTTCCATAAATGCAGCTGAAGAAACAGATTCAGAAAAAAGACACCCAGCAGCCCTGATCAGCGTGGCTCTGTGGTTAGGGCGCCGGCCTGTGCACTGGAGGGTCTCAGGTTCGATTCCGGGTCAAGGGCACGTACCTGGGTTGCAGTTTCAATCCCTGGCCCTGGTTGGGCTGCGTGCGGGAGGCAACCAATCGCTGTTTCTCTCTCTCCCCCCATCCCTTCCATTCTCTCTAAAAATCACCGGAAAAAATATCCTCGGGTGAGGATTAACAACAACAAAAAAGACATCTCGCAGCACTGAACACTCCCCAAACGTTAGGCACTGAATAGTGATGACCTTCCTTCATCCCTGCCATGGCAGGTACTAACAGCGTCCCAACGTTACGGAGAAATCGACCGCCCAGTTTCAAAACGTGCCCCGTTTCACAGACACGGTAAGTGAACACAGTATTCGAACCCCAGTTCGCAGACTCCTGCACCCATGCTCCTCACCAATGCAAACTGCGCGTGGACCCGAGTGTAAGTGGCCCCTGGGGGCCAGGGAGGTGGCCAGAGGCAAGGGCTCAGGGTCTGATCCAGCCTCCAGCATCGCTGCTTTCTCAGCGACACTCCCTCCCCCAAACCAGGGCTGCAGGCAGAAGCCCCAGGGTGAGTGGTCGGGGAACCGAAGGGTGGGGGTGAGTCTGGGAAGCGGGGGTCGCTTACCTATAATGGGCACCTCGGCAATGAAGACCCTCCGGATAGAATTGGCCACCCTGAGGGATGAAAACAAGTGGCGTGAGGGCACCGCAGCCTCGACAACCCCCGCCCCTCCCCCCGTTCCCAAAGTGAAAGCCATGGCACGGCGCAGGGGACCAGCAGACTCGGCCCGTCCCCCTCCACCCCCGGCTTCGGCCCCCGGCTTCCCGTAGCAGCCTTACGCTAGGTCCGTATTCTCGATGATGAACTTGACATTCTCGTCGGTGAGCTCCGTGATCCGCACGGTGGGCTGGTTGGCATACGGCATCGCGCTCCGCCGCCCGGCGGGCCGCCGGCGTCAACCAATAGTTATCTTTTTAAAAAATATATATTTTATTGGTTTTTTACTGTTGGGGTCCAACCCCAGCAGGTCCAGGGGTCCCCAAAGGTGTGGACGGAGTCGGTGAAGAAGGAATGAGTCGGTCAGCGCGGCCCCCACCGCTTCCTCGGAGACGCGCCCACAGCACCGCCTACTGCTCGGAGGCCGGGACTGCTCCGGGCTCGTGGTTTCCATCCCATCACCTGGTTTCAATGCACCAGTTGGTGATTTGCCAAATCTAGGATGGTGTTTTGGCAAAACACGCATACACCCTTGACTCAACAATAACGCTTCCAGGAATTCATACTGCAGAAATGCTTAAAGTTTTAAGCAAAGATACATTTACAGGGATGATCATTGCAGCACAGTTTGTAACATCAAAAAAGAAACAAAAGTAATTGTCCATTGAGAGGCCTGGTGAGATATACACACATAGGAATACTATGTCTTTTAAAAGAATGAAGTTGGTACATTTATGGAAAAACAAAAGTGTACTTTAGCCAACTATACTTGAATGGTAGGTAGATACCCTTTCCCTTCCCACCCGCAGCCTGAGCTGACCAATACAAGTTAACCAGACTTGCAAAAGGAGCCCAGCCAGTGGAGGCCAAGAAAATTATTAAAGCTAGATTGGATCACTGAAATGGTTAGCAATAGACAAGCGAAGCCAAAGGAGCTAACGGTGAGAGGAAAGGCCCCTGTCACGCCCATTTTACTGATGGGAAGCCTGGGCCCAGAGATGCAGAGCTGTCATATTGTTAGGCAGCACCAGGCCCAGAACTCAGCCTCAAACCCTTCCCACACTGCTGTCTCTCTCTGGGGTCTTGGATACCTGCCATGGTCTGGATGAAAACTAACTACACAACAGTAAATGGATTCAAACATATTTATTATTATTATTACAGAGTCTAAGTTCACTAATAAGCCTGCACGCACGCTGGTGTAATGCGACACCAGGCCTGAGATCACACCCCGGGTCGGGCTGTGAACCACTGTCCAGCAGGCACCTGTCTCATGTGGCAGCTTTCTGAGGGGGTCCCAGGTGCAGTATCTCAGGCTGCTGGAGAGGAAAAAGGCCGCAAGGGACACTTCTGGGTGCACGTGCCTGTGCTGTGCTGTGCTGTGGATCAGCTGCCACAGGGGTAGCTTGAGACCCTGACTCTGACCTGGGAGTCCCAGAGAGCATTCTAGGAAGGTTAAGATATGACCAAGGTGCCTGTGAGACATGACAGGCCGTGCTGGTTTCTGTGGCTTGAACGCTGGATGAGAGCCTCAGTTGTCAATCACACAACTGCAGAAAGACATCAGGAAGCCGGCTTGGTACTAGGAACTGAGGAAGTGGCCCACTCCCAGGCTACAACTGTATCATCAAGTGCCCTGTGGCTTCCAGGTGGCTGTGGTGGTGACTCAGAGTCCTGTCCTGTGCTGGCACTTCATACTGTTCAATGTCCTTTAAATATATCCGCAGGTTTTCTTCTGGGCACGCTAGCTTATACCCCTTCTTGCTCACCGGCGCTGGTTCAGACCTGTCAGGTTCTTGAGCTGAGAAAGGGGTGGAAACAGAGAGAGTGCTAAGGCCTTGCCCTGCCCCAGGAATTCCATGGGAGAGGTCAGGATTTTCAAAGCAGCACACGTGGCTGTGATGTGATGTCCTGGGGTCCAGGGAGTCAGCCAGTAGAAAATAAAGAGGTGGGATATTTGGAATCAAGAGAGTTGGACTGCACCGCTGTCAGTCTCACTACTTAAGCTTTCCATTTTAAGGCTACAAAACTACTTGGGGTCAGGGATACATTAAATAAACAGCACAGGGCCAGAGTGGGATGGGGGAGGGCAGGGATGGGCAGGGAAGTACCCACCGTCACTGCTGCACCCATGAGTCCTTGCACCAGTGCCTCTCCAGTGGACTTCACCTAGAAGGAGTCAGAGTCAGGTTCTCTTAGCCCCCACCACAAGCAAAGGTGAGACAGGTAGGACAAAGCAGCAGGCCTACTAGTCCCAACAGGTGGAGTCAAGAGGGCTGTGTACTGGAGGAAGAGCCTACAGACAACACAGCCGCAAATGGGCCAAGTGTGGCTCTTGGAGAGGCTGCTATGAGGAAGAACCAGCCCAGCTCCCTAGGAAGGCCCTCAGGACTGTCAGCTGAGGCCACAGGGGAGCAAGAGAAAGACAGTGCCCAGCTGTGACCTGAGGAGGAGGGGGTGCCTGGTGAGGAGGCTTGCCAAATGGCTAGCCCCACTACCTGATTGGCAGTGTGGCCCATGTTCATTGCATCGTTAATCCGGTTTTCCAAGAAGCGCCAAGTGTCCTCGAAGTCTGGGGAGGAGTCCTGCATCATCACCAGCTCGGTTGTGTTGTAGATAGCAGCCAGCACGGCCCGGCGGGTGTACCAGTTGAACTGCAAAGAAAACCACCCAGGCAGGTGGGTCACCGCTACTGCTGCGGGCAGGGCAATCGGGGGTGGTTTCTGCCCAAAGCCACAGGCACGCATGGGCTTCCTCCTGACTTCTCCTTTCCCTCACAGATGGAAAGATACATATGGCTCTCTGGACAACACTATTGTTCCACCACATGGCTGTACATCAGGATGACCTGGGAAATTAAAAACGCAAGCTCCCAACCTGGCCGGATGGCTCAGTTGGTTGGAGCGTCGTCCCATGCACTAAAACAGTGGTTCTCAACCTTCTGGCCCTTTAAATACAGTTCCTCATGTTGTGACCCAACCATAAAATTATTTTCGTTGCTACTTCATCACTGTAATGTTGCTACTGTTATGAATCGTAATGTAAATATCTGATATGCAGGATGGTCTTAGGCGACCCCTGTGAAAGGGTCGTTCGACCGCCAAAGGGGTCGTGACCCACAGGTTGAGAACCGCTGCACTAAAAGGTTGTCAATTCCAGTCAGGGCACATACCTAGGCTGTGGGTTCGATACCTGGGTTGGGGAGCGTACAGGAGGCAACTGATCCATGTTTCTTTCTCACATCCATGTCTCTCTCTCTCTCTCTCTAAAAATCAATAAACACATATCCTCAGATGAGGGTTTAAAAAAATGTTTTAAAAAAAGCAAGCCCCGGGCCCAACCTCTTAGCGTTCAGTCAGTGGGTCCGAAGTGCTGGAGGCTGGAGTTTACTAAGCACGCAGGTGACTTTGCTACATCTGGTCCTTTTGGAACTGCTGGTGAAAAGACTAAGTCTTAGGACATCTAAGTGCTGGGAGGCTCTGTGGTCAGCCAGTTATGAGCAAACTGTAGTGTGTCCCACGGCAGGTGACGGCAGAGCGAATCACGGACCGATGAGAACAGCGAGGAGACGCTGAAAGGCAAGTCCTTTAGTGACGCCGACTGTCCTGGGAAACTGCTCTTCAGAACACTGGCTCAGCTGCTTCGTGTTTTATTCTTTTAATTTCTTTGCTTTCTAATTTCATTTTGCTACCATCTCCGTTGCTGGTATATTCCCGCAGGGGGGAGTTTATTAAAGCACTATGTTAGAGCCGGGGTAGGGGGAGCATCTCTTTGCCTCCCCAGCCTGGTTATTAATTTCTTTTTATAAAGGTATACATTTTAAAAACTTCCTTACAGAAACATAATAGCATTCACAAGTCATATTCTTTCCTGGTGCCTGTTTAAAGGCTTATTGATTTCTTAGCAAAGCAGGCCAAGATGGGCTGGGGGTGGGAGTTTCTTTTTAAAGCAATGGTGTCTCCATGGCATTAAAAAAAAAATCAGTCTCATGAAAGTCACACTGAGAAATTCTGCTGCAGAATATAAATTTTAGGAGACGGGGGTGGGGGGGCATTATAAAATAGCAGCCCAATCACAAGGCCCTCTGACGTCTTTTGTCACCACTGCAGGTTGGGAGGAAGCACCACTGGTTTGCGACTGGAGTATTGGTTCCTGTCATGGGCATGACCTAGATCCCACTGTGGCTTGTAGAGGGCCCTCCCTCATACCTCAGCCTCTCCTTACCAGGATGGGCATGGCGCTGCAGGCCCCTGAAGGGATTTGTGATCAAAGAAATTTCACAAACTTGTTGAAGAAATGCTCAACCCAAGCTTTTCCCGGCACCCTGAGGGCCTGCAGAAGCACTCACGTCAGTGGACTGGTCCCCAGCGTAATGCCACATGTCGTCCACCATGCTGGTGAGCAGGCTCAGGCTGGCCGGGATGTTGTGAGGGAGCATGAGGATGCTGAGGGCCTGCAGGGAGAGTGACAGGGGGATAGGTACAGCACACAGGGGACAACCGCGCATGGGTGGCTGGTGCCTCACCTCTCCACTGACCTACGTGAGGGGGCTTGCCCAGCTCGCATCTGAGACCCACCTCCCACCCCCCAGCAGCTAACAACCCTGACCACAGCCGATGGGGACCAGGGCCCATCCTCCCCTCCTGGCCCAATCAGATCCTCAATCCCCAGCATGTGGACTTGGGAATGCAGACAGCAGAGGGTCTGGCCTGGTCTGAGTACTGAGAGTGAGGATGAGGAGGTCACATGGAGGAAGAAGCAGAGATAGGAAGGGAATCTGGGGGTGGTGTCTAGGTCCAAATTCTAGGTCACATTCCTCCTCTTGTCCCACTGCACCTCAATAAGTTCCTCCCCATGACCTTTTGCTCAAGTTGATTTGTTATCTGAAACTAATCCTTCAACGAATACAAGCAATGGCACAACCCAGACTCCTCCATTAGCAGACACCACCTCCTGACAGTACAAGGTCTTGCCACTTTGACAACTTAAGTCCTTGGCCGGGGCCTCTGGGGTTTGGACAGAGAGGTCCTGGATGGGCTGGGAAGTGTCCTCTCAGTGCAGGAGCCCAGGAGGAAACGTGCTGCACCAGCAGGCAGCCAGGCCTAACGCACTCGTTTTTATCCCCTGAACCGTGAGGCGGACGAGTCAAGGCGCCAGGTCTGGAAATCCAGCAGCAGCACAGGCAGGAGGCAGGCCCAACTTGGCCGTGCTCCCTACACACCCGGCCTGGGTGTTCACGTGTCTGTCCACTGACTGACTGAAATGACGTGTTCAACAGAGTCCCAGCTGGGTGGGGGCACCAGATGGCTCTGCGTGCCTCTGATGTGCTTCGACTTGACCTGCTTAACTGAGAGCAAGGCCCACCCTGTGACATGCTTTGAAAGAGGAAAAGGAAGCTTCAGAGAAGGGCAGAAAAGCCCGTGGATAAAAACTCCAATCCTCAAGCCTCACACTGAAAATCTGAAAAGAAGGCCAGTCCCCTGAGATATGAAACACGACAGGCCTATTCACGACAATGGCCAATACAATCTGCTGACTTTTCTCATCTCCTTCATGGACTCCTATTCACTGAAGACCTGCGGGCACACTTGAGCCACCAAGGCCCCCCGCAGGACGCGATCCGGCACCCAGGCCACTCACATCTCCAGGGACCGAGACACAGAAGGCTCCGAGTTACTCTCTTTGGCACCCCCCAACCTGAAACCTAGCTCGGCCCCGTGCCCGGAGCAGCCCTGGGCCCGTGGGGTCAGTGAGCTGAGGCCTGACAGTGCCCAGTGCTCCGAGTGGAAGGTGCTGGCAGTTATCCATCTGAAGACATTGTTGCCCTGGGGCCTGGATATGGACTGTACCCGGGGCCAGTGTTCAATGTACGGGATCAGCATTCTCAGTCTGGTCTCCACTGCGTCCCTCAGGAACTGGTCTGTCTTCCTCTTCCTGGAAGAGGGAGAAGAAAACATGCGTCTCTGGGTCAAAGGCATGGCTCGGTGCTAGCACAGGGGGAGAGGCCGGCTGGCTCCGGGCACTGGCCTGCCGACAGCTGTCCAAGCCAGGCGGCTGCCTGTGAGTCAGTCCCCTGGATGCAGCAGGGCTGCTGAATGCCCCTCTTGGCTCTGCTTGGACTGACCTCCTAGGGACAGCTGGTGGGGCCTGAGTCACTCGAGCCTTAGCTGCCACCCCGAGCGACAACGCCACAGGACTTACTCTGCCTGGCTCAGCTGTACCAGCTTCTGCTCCTCTTCCAGCACCTGGGTGAGCTGAGCGTTGCACTGGGTCACAAAATGCAGGATCAGCTCACTGCCATCGTTCCCGAACATGTTGGCTGCTGCACTGGAGAGGCCCAGAGACTACGGAGGAAGAAGAGAGCGGTGGCGGCAAGTGTAGTGGACATGTGCTCCCCGCTCGCCACTAGTGCCTCTTCTAGTAACAGCAGCTTTGTTTGCAGGGGGCCACCCCACTCTTCATTCTTTATCCGTGAGACGTGGGTGAAGCTAACCACACTCCATCAAGCCCCTGGTGTGCTGCAAAGACTTGGACGGGAGTTCACAGCGCCATCTCAAAGATGCGCACGCGAGCAATCCCAGGCCTGGAGAAACCGCCTTGGGACTCTGGCTAGGACGGATGGGAACGAGGAGCTCTCTCCACGGGGGCTGCCGAGCCACTCCTAGTCCTGCATGGGAGGCCCTGCTGATTGACAGTATAGCCAGGGTTACATACATTATCCCCTGCTGCTGGGAGCACAGAGAGGAACTCGGAGCAGATATGCTGGAGAGAAAGTCCCCAGCCCCACAGCCCAAGAATGTTGTGCCCAAGCTACTTCCAGACTTTTGTTACTAAATGACCCAAAACACTCCTCCTTGCTTGAGCCAGTCAGAGTGGAACTCTGACACTTGTAACCTGGAGGCCTCACTGACATAATAAGGGGCTGGGGAAGATGCTCATAATCCTTTCCCTTACCAATTCACTTAATTTCTCTCTTGGAAATTGAGTCACTTAGTTGTTCAAAAAACAACAAGACCCTGACTGGGTAGCTCAGTTAATTATTGCCCTGATAAGCCAGGGTTGTGGGTGCGATCCCTGGTCAGGGCACATACAAGAAGCAACCAATGAATGCATCAATAAGTGGAACAACAAACTGATGTTTCTCTCTTTCTCTCCTTTCCTCTCTCTAAAATCAATAAATAAAAATGGAAAACAACAACAAAGCTATCTTTAATGAGCTGTCAAGAAGTTAACAAAGCCACAAAGATCCCTGCTACTCCCCATCTACAGCAACTGCTGTGCATCTGCTGGAGGCAGAACCCTGACAGCAGCAGAGACAGGGGGAGAAAAAGGAACAAAACAAAAACATTAACTAGGAACTCCCCCTGTGGGGACTGGGGAAATGCCTCTCTTTTGGTGGCAGTACACAGCCCTTTTGGAGGGCAATCTGCCAGTCTATTCCGATGCAGGAGCAAATGTATTAGACTTACTGAGAAAAATACAGTGTGGTTCTCCCAAGTGGTGCCTTGTTGGGCGTTTTCAAACACCGTATTTCATCAAGTCTAAGATGCACATATTTCTCATTTTAAACAATCAGTGTGAATTGTACAACTGATGATGCGTCACAGTTTAAAGGCAGCATTTATCTTTTTCAGTGATGCATACAACAATGTTGCTTCTTACAACAACTGGCAACTTAGAGTCAATGAAATGTGGTCATTTTTGTCATAGGCAATTCTTTACATGGGCTGCCTTTAGAACCTTACTCCTAAGAACCAACTCCATCTTATATTCTTTTTATAGTAAAAAGCAGTTTTATAATGAACCTAGTTTCACTTTACTAATAAAGAGCCGCCCCCTGCAAAAAACACACACAAAAAACACACCCAGAAAATCCTACAGGGGTGAGGGTTCTAAGCTGGGCTGCACTTTGGCTGATGTAAGGCCTCTGCTTTGGCTGATGGAACTCCCTCCCGGCTGATCTTGGTCAGGCTGCCCCGCCCTCACCTACACACACCTGGGCTCCTTCTGCAATTGCCTCTGCCGTCCACCCATGGGCAGGCACGAACTCCAGGGCTGCTGTCAGGATGCGGTGCTGCAGCTGCTCCTCACTCTCATGGTCCTCCTCCTCGTCGCCGGCCTGGTCTGTGTACCTGAGACCCAAATCCGAGGGAGACATGGGGACAGAGCCCTGCACACCTCATCCTCCTGCCTGCTGCCTCGAGTGCAAAATGAGCCTGACCAGAAACCATAGCTACTAGTTAGTAAGCATATCATCCTTCCCCTCCCGTATGCTCACTGAGAGCAGGCAGCAGTGAGCGAGGACGTCATGCCATAGGACACATGCTCCTGCAGCTCCCAGGATTCCCTGTTTCTAGCCCTCAGCACAGTTTCTTTATCTGTATTTGCACCAGACGGTAACACCATGAGGTCTGAAACAATGGTCATATTATCCACAGGGTCTGGCACAAAGTAGATCCTCAAAAAAATATCTGTTGAACTGAAATGAAAAGTATGTTAATCAGGAGACCAGAATAATGACTGGGGATACTTAATTTCAGAGCCAGAGGAACTTCTCAGTGGTAGGATTAAGAAAAAAATATCTAATGGAAATGGAAATTATGTTTCTAGAGGACAATTTGGCCCCACATATGTAACAAAATGCTACATGTGCATATCCTTTGACTCAGTGCTCCCATTGCTGAGAGAATCACACACTTTATCACATTATTTTTCATACCAGTGAAGGAAATCTAAATATTCATCAATAAAAGATAGGTTAAACAAACTTTGGTACCAAAGTTTGCTGGAATATTATGCAATTACTAAAATAATGACCGTGAAAAGACATTAAAAATGTATAGAGTGAAAAAACAGATTCTGAAAGAGCACATATAATTAATCATTATGACTGTTATTTTAAATCCTTATCCAAGGATGTTTTTATTGATGAGAGAGAGAGAGAGGGGAAGGTAGATGGAGAGAGAGAGAGAAACATCAATGTGTGAGAGAAACATTTGAGAGAGAGAAAGTAGATGGAGAGAAAGAAACATCAACGTGTAAGAGAAACATTGATTGGTAGCCTCCCATAGGTACCCTAACTAGGGATCGAACCAGCAGCCTGGGTATATGCCCTGACCCGGAATTGAACCCTTAACCCGTCAGTGCACAGGATGACGCTTCAACCAACTGAGTCATAGAGGCCAGGGCTGTAATTAACCATTATCATATACGTAAGTTTACATATGAAATATGCTTACAGAAACATCTAAAAAAGATAGTAACAAAAATGTTGGCAGAGTTATTTCTGGATCTGTGATTTCCAGTCGGTAGCCTCCCATAGGTACCCTAACCAGGGATTGAACTAGCAATCAGGGTATGTGTCCTGACTGGGAATTGATCCCTTAACCCTTCAGTTCACAGGATGACGCCTTAACCAACTGAGCCATAGAGGCCAGGGCTGTAATTAATCATTATTATATACAAAAGTTTACATATGAAATATGCTTATAGAAACATCTAAAAAGGTAGTATGTTGGCAGAGTTATTTCTGGATCTGTGATTTCCAGTAATTTCTGCAAACTTCTTTGTATTGTTTAGATGTTTTACAACATACAGGCACCATTTTCATTAAAAAACAGGAGGTTCCTTTCAAAGATAGTCTTGATAATGATGAAAGGTGAGAAAGAAGAGAGGAGAGAGGAAGGAGAACAGATGTACCCAAGCATGCACAGTGGCCAGAAATGGGTCGACAGGGTTCTGGTGCCTACCTGGGGGGTGGACGAGAAGACTCCGGACTGGGTTCTTCCGCCCCCTGTGTCTCAGAATGTTGCTGAGAAAAGGGAGGGGGAGGTCGGTGCTTCTGCTCATCTGAAGCCCTCAGCTGCAGAGCTGACGCATGGAAGGCGCGTGGCGCCAGGGCTGGCTGGCAGCGGGACACTGAAACAGAAGCGGGACTGGTCAGTCGGCGACACTCACCAGAGAAGACCCTTTGAGACCTACCGTGGTACAAGGGATGGGGGAGAGTAAGAGGGCAGCGTCCCCTCCAGCACCACTTATCCAAGTGTTGGGTCTCGGGCAAAATTCAGGGTAAATTGGCAACTTTGAGACATGACGTGGAGACAAGAGTCTGAGCCAGAAAACAGAAGACCTGCTTCTAGGCCTGTTTCTATCATTTGTTAGCTGTGTGGTAATGGGCAAGCCATTTCATCCCTGTGAGCGTGACTTTAAAGTAGGCAAATTAAGAATAATAATTAAGAAGAATAATCTCCATTACTTGCTCCATGGGAGTGGGGCTGAAACAAAAAGTGACAGTGACTTGGAAATGTTTCATTTTTATACTAGAGGCCCGATGCACGAAAATTCGTGCAAGAGTAGGCCTTCCTTCCCCCAGCTCCGGCTTCCCTCCTCTGGCTGCCAGCAGGCACCTGGGACCTGGGCCCGGGCTGCTTCCTTCCGACCACTGGCAGGAACCTGGGACCCGGCTGGCTTCCCTTGGGCCACCCACAGGCACCCGGACCCGGGCTGGCTTCCCTCCGGCCCGGCTTCGTCAGGAAGGACGTCCGGAATGACGTCCGGTTTAATTAGCATATTGCCCTTTTATTACTATAGATATTATGGCTAGAGCACTGGACTAGAAATTAGAAGGTCTGAGTACTGACCCCCAGTGTTTATATGATGCCTGCTTTCTCACCTGCAATATTGCAACACCCCCTTCATTCACATTAGGAAAGGGCTTTTGGGAAAGTACCACTTCATACTTTTTTTCTTTCCCAACAGTGTATTATAAAACATTGCAAACACGCAGACAAGTTGAAAGAATTGTGGCACGAATGCCCTTATATCCACCATCCAGATACTCTATATGTAGCCATCACACTCTTCCTTTAATCCATTTTGTATTTTGATACATTTGTTGCAGACCTCAGTATTCTTCACCTCTAAACATTTCACCGTGCCTCTATGAACTAGAGTTTAATATCTTCTGTTCCTTTATTGAGCTATTTATATACAATGAAATGCAAAAGTCTGAAACGTGCCAATTCTGAATTTTGACAAATGCACTTATATAACCTGAACCCCCATCTAGAGGTGATCACCTCCCTGCAAGGTCCCTCATGTTCCTTCCCAGTCGTTCCCTACCCACAGTTCTGAATTTTCCCGTCTAGTTTTTCCTGTCCTAGCACTTCATCTAAATACAACCGTACAGCATGTCATTTTTATGTGACTTTTGTTGAACACATTGTTTAGGTTGAGCTATGCTTTTTGTGTAAACCAGCAGGTTGCTTTTTACTGCTGAGTAGTATTCCGTGAGGATACACTCTTCTGTGGATGGACACCTGGGCTGGCTCAGGGTTGGCTATTATCAGTGAAGTTGCTACGAACGTACTTGTACAAACCTTGTTGTGGACATAATGCTTTCATTTCTCCTGGTATTTGTAAATACTTAGGAGTGGATTTGCGGGGTCACAGGCATTGCTTTTACTAAACATCTTTCGTTTGGAGTTTTGTATAAACACAACAAAAGGGCATCATTTAAAAAAAAAAATCTATCGGGCCCCTCGGGGAACAATGATTTAAAAAACACAGCACGATAGGTGTGAAAACACCTGCCTTTTAGTGTATGTATAGAAAGAAGGGAGCGACTATCCATAATACGTTGAAAAGGACAAGGGAGGTTCTGAAGGAACTCCGAGGAGCCACTGTGATGTAGGAGAGTTTAGGTGAAATGCAGGAGAATGTTTATTATGTTATTAGCTATGTATTTTTGTCAATGTGTCACATTGCGTCTAGTAGTCCATTTATGCCAACGATACAAAGTTTCCTCTTTTAAGTAAACGCCTGTCTTTTTAAGAACTCGGATGTATAAACAAAACTCCTGACTACATAGCGGCCAAGGTGGCACAAGGGGATCGCAGAATTACCGACGTGGGGGGGCGCTGACTGACCGGAAACGGAGGCCAAGGTGCTCTCTCCGGTCGCCTCCACCTCTGTCCCCCGTGTTCCCGGCCCTGGGCCCTCGCAAGGGACTTAGGAGACGGGGGCCGAGTTCCGCAACCACGAGCTGGGTGACCTTGGGCACCCACAGCCCCCTCTGGGGCTTCGTTAAGCCCATTAAATGGGAGTGAGAGGCCCTGCTCCGCGGCTCTTGGCCCCTCGCATCTGTTGACTCGGGGCAGAAGCCCAGCCAGACGGCCCGTTCCATCCCGGGACGCCGGCGGCC